GTTTATGTTTCTAAATCTTGCCTTTCACATGGTATAAAGGAAATTCACCTCTTCCTTTACTTCCTGCCTGTGCATAACCTCCGTGCTGCAAGTGTCAACCGCTGACACAGCTCGTGTTCCTAAAGTGCAACAGAGCAGGTGATAGGAACACAAACCATTGCATCACAGGCAGGCTTTTTATTTTTAAACAGTTACTGTATTCAGACAACTTTCACTTCGTCTTTGCAACTTGTCTAAAAGCTTTAGAGAACTGTGTGGGCTGCATTCCTCACATTTAATCCTTTAAGTGGTGCCGAACATTAGACTGCTGACAAGAATGTTGGGTTTATATCAAAGGTAAAAGCTACAGTAAATAAGTGCTGCCATATTTGATAATACTTCTCAGCTGTACAAGTGTAGTCTAATTTTTGGTTTATTTCTTACCCGTGGTTCTGTTTTTGTCCAGATTGTGGACGTGTTTATGGAGTACAACCTGATTCAGCAGTGCACATCATTCCTTCTGGATGCCCTGAAGAACAACAGACCCTCAGAAGGACCTCTCCAGACTCGCCTGCTGGAGATGAACCTCATGCATGCACCACAGGTAGACAAATATGCACACACTTGAATAAATGAATCCATTTGTTAAGCATGAATCACTGTTTTCTAATGATTCGTCTCATGGTGTAGGTTGCTGATGCAATCCTGGGCAACCAGATGTTCACCAACTATGATCGTGCCCACATTGCCCAGCTGTGTGAGAAAGCTGGACTCCTGCAGAGAGCACTAGAGCACTACACTGACCTGTATGACATCAAGCGTGCTGTGGTGCACACACACCTGCTCAACCCAGAGGTAGGCTTCACTTACCTACACAGTCAAAGTGTTTTCCCATCTGGCAAATGTGTCATTGCTTGTTGTAGATTGTACAGCCTCTGAATTAACATTTTTTCCCCCACACAACCTCCAGTGGTTGGTGAACTACTTTGGCTCATTGTCAGTGGAAGATTCTCTGGAGTGCCTCAGGGCCATGCTCTCAGCGAACATCCGCCAGAACCTGCAGATCTGCGTCCAGGTGGCGTCCAAGTACCATGAACAGCTCACCACACAGGCTCTCACTGAACTCTTTGAGTC